CATCCATTACATTAAAACCTGTGCCAAAAGAGTTCACAAAATGTAGGTAAATCACTTAGTTTTCTGCAATATAGGCCGTTTTTAACCTTGGGTCTGTTGCAACTTTACCGCACTGGAGCACAACCAGCAATGCTGACATTCTAAACCAAAAAGGGTGCATCAATTGACTGGTGGAAGAGGCCTAATCCATCCTAAGAGTGATCGGTTGGCAACAAGCCAAAAAAAATCTGTATTTCATAGTTCATGCAATCTACAGAATCTGAATATTCAACTGCATTTTCTTTCTACTCCATGGACACACCATTAAGCCGCCCTGCTCCCACACTGGCTATTCCCTGGACCTGACAGCAGTGCTCTGGGAGGTAGCGGCAAAGTTGTTGAATCACTTAGCTTGTCTACTGGACGCACAAGTCGTCACTTCCTTGGATCAAAAGAGAGGACTTTTGTTATTGAGTTAAAGGTCCAGCGTGTAACATTTAGGAGGATCAATTGGCAGAAATGTATTATAATATGCATAACTATGTTTTAATTAGTGTATAATCACCTAAATATAGCAATCCTGTTCACGGGTCACCTTCCATGGAGACCGCCATGTTGAAGTGCCATGTTTCCACAGTAGCCCAGAGGTGACACACCAAACAATTGCTCTAGATAGGGGCATTTTGGGGCCATTGTAGTTACTCCTTTAAGGACTCATTCATCGTTAGCTGAACCGTGGCTTTTGTATTGAGCTCTCACTGTATACACTGTGGTGGACTTTGCACAAATTCTTGTGTGTTTTGTATTGGTGTAATTACTCTTACTGCCAAAGGGGGAGACACATTTTCACTGCAGGTTTAAAGCAGGGAATAATGGAATTGTATAAAGTAGCAACATAATGTCAAATAAATAATGCGGAAGAAAGAGAAACCTGTAAAAACCAACAGACCGTAGCAGATTAGTATTCTAAAAACTACAATTGGTATACTAGAGAGGTCAATAATGTTCAAACATGGGAACTTAATTTATTATACCAACAGCATTTTATTTTTTGTTTTTTTGTCTTTTGTCAGTGGTGTTTTCTTCGTTCTCCAGCACATCCACAGTATAAACAATCCAGTCTGTCTTTAATGACCACAATCTTAAACAAAACACAGAATTGATTTTCTTCCACCAGTTCATCTACACATGTTTCAGTAAGGGCCAGAGAAGTCCTGATTTGTCATTAGATTTGATAAGTGTGAATGAGCTTCCATTGACAGGTGATTTGGGCATTCAACCTTCAAGAGACCTTTAAACTCAATACATGTTTAAGTGTGGAACAAATCAAACTGTTCGAATAAGCTGTCGTATGGCCATCAGTGTGACAAATGTACTTTTTTCTTTTTTCTCCCTAGAGTGCAGTGTTCTGTTAGTTTCTGGGGAAATTGCAAATATATAGTTAATTAGTGCAACTTAGATCTGTTTTACTTTCCATGCTGGAAACCGCTGGCATTGTTCTAAGACCATATACACTGTGATATTTTCCAGTTGTTTAGATGGAACATTTGTAGCTTTGGTTTGTTGTTTGAATGTAATATTTAGGGCTTCATGGTTCTTAGTTCGAACCCCAAAATACTAAAATTTCCTCTGAAAGATTGCAGTATCACTGAAAGTATCACTAGTCATAAACCACTAGAGATCAGCAACTGAGGGGCAACAGGAGCTGTATTCTCACTGTACTCTTTTTACTGTACTCTTTTTAAATTTCATGGGAATTCTTACTTTAATGTTTTTGAAGAGTGGCCAAATAATTTCTCTCCTGAACTATGCTATTAACATTTTTTTTCAGTTCCCACATTACCCTGACTTCTTTATTTCCTCCAATTTCAGGAGTGACAAAAGGGCTACTAAGCAGTAGTAATGCCCGTTTTCACAGAAACATAAAGACAAGTGCTTTCAAAGCTCTTTTGAAAAGAAACACATTACACCAAATATCTGCCGGCACAAAACAAAATAAAGAAAAGGCTACCAACATCTGTTAATGTTGCCTCAAGTTCATAATACGAGTTCAAGATCCTCTGTTGTGAAGGATTTCAACGAGGGAGGTCTAATATGTGTCTGCATGTGTGTGTGCGCTGGTTTTCTGTGATAAGGAAGGCCAGAGGTGTTTGACCCCTCATGACCTCTGCAGTGTTGGTGGCATTAAGCTGTCTGTAAAGAGAAATACATTTGTCTTCTGTCTGTGTGTCAGTCAGATAAGCTCTGACCTCACACATACCTGCACAAGGTTCCTGTCTGTCACATTCTTTGAGGTGAACTTTATATGGCTCAACAAAGGAGTAATTGTGAGAATCTACATTAACAGTCCCCTGTGAGTCTGACACACACACACACACACACACACACTGTCACTCACACACACACACA